GCAAACTAATTGGTCGATAGTTAGATGGCTCTTAATGATCGCCACCCTTATGCAAGGGAATCACTATTGCTGATTTTAGAAATGAAGGAAACACGCCCCTTGTCCATGAATCATTTATTGCATCAGCAAAACCCTCCAGAGCACATTCAGGTAACTTAAAAAGTACCTCAACAGAAATTCCGTCGTCACCCGCGGATTTCCTCTTCTTGATGTCACAAAGAGCCTCTTTAACCTCATTGATATCCGTTGGAAAAAAATAAAACGAATCTGGAAAAGATAGGTCATCAAGGTAAGAAATTGGATCATTACTCATTGGTATATTTTGTGTCAAGATGCCCGCCATGGCACAATAAAATGTATTCAAGGTCTCTGCATCGACAGCAATTTCATCAGAACCATGCCTCTGTCGATTGCACAAGTCATTGATTATAGACCAGCCCTCTCTTTGACTATTTTTGGCTCTTGAAAGTCTCCTGGTATAATATTCCTTTTTAGCAGTTGCAATCAGTTTACGATATATTTTACGATATTTACTGCAATATAAGCTAAAAAACTGATTGTTTCCAAAAATTTTTTTTATATAATTGAGAGAGCGAAGGTTGGCTGCTGACACCTTTATACCCCTTGTAAGCCATGGTTTTTGCCTTTTAGTCTTAGATTTAATTAACTTAAGAGGAAACGCTCTATTGAATAGGTCAATCACAACAGTATAAAATGACCCAAAAGGTTCCAGAGACTGACTTAGATCCCGCCACTTCACGTCAAGACAGTAGACATAAAAATTGTTAAAACTTGCTCGGTTAAAAATTCTGCCAAGACGTCGCTTATTCCCAACCTCAACACCGATACCTGCAAACGTGCAGCTCACCACTTCATGATCAGACAGATTGGCGCCAGAAACAGAACACTTTACATTTTCCATGTTTGAACATATATAATCAATAGTGGTAGCCGAGTTCTTACCAATTCGAGTTGGTGAGCTAACGTGCATAACTAGACCATATGAGCTAAGTAAATTTACAAGCAAAACAGTATTAATAGAATGACTCTCAGTGAAGTTAATGTTTAGGTCTCTATGTGATTGCATATTTGGATACTACATAAAATTCTGAGCAGATTTCATGTCATATACCCTATACCTAAGTTCAACTGTTTTGGAAATAATAGAGAGTTATTGGACGTGCAATAAGGACAAGCAGTATTTAAAATAGCCTTATTTTGACATCTGCGCAGGCGCATTTGGGTCTGGAATAACGTAAATCCTTAATACTGCCAGGCAGTATTTGATAGTTCCAATAACTCTCTATTGACAATTGAAAATTGACTTTTTGCAACTTTGACAGCCTGTAAAACCTAAACAGTTAATTTTAGAGGAAAACCGATTTCACATTCCTGCCTTAGATTTTTATAAACTATCACCAAACACCATTTAATTTAATCCATGATTAAAAATTTCAATTAAATTTAATCTCCGGTTAAATTCAAAGTTGATGTCAAATGATAGTTTATGGAAATATAAGATAGGAATGTGAAATCGGTTTTCCTCTAAAATCAACCGTTTAGGTTTTACATCCAGTCAAAGTTACAAAAAGTAAATTTTCAACTGTCAATATTTCCAAAACAGTTGAACTTACGTATAGGGTATATTGCATGAATTTGCTCAGAATTTTACGTAGAATCCAAATATGCAATCACATAGGGTATCTCATTTAAAATAAGCAAGTTGACGTCTACTTTCGGTATAACCGGAAGTGCCACCATTTTGAAAATATTTTAGCTGGGTTGCCCCTACTGACATTAGCACCCATACTGTCAAATTTTCAAAAATTTTCTGCATACAGTTTTCCATATAGGTATAGATCGATTCGGTTTCCGGTGGAACACTCTGTATATATGGTCCTTTTTATCTCAGAAAGCAAGACAAGGTGGATATTGCGAATAGGCTCAAGATATTGAAAAAATATATATATCCATTCAACTTTGTTTTTAATTTTGTTTTAAGCATAGAGTCTGTTCCTCATAATTAGTGCGGCTTCTACAACTTAAACAAAAAAAAAAGTTAAATACAAAAGTTGCAGGGTATTGTCTCTATTATACTTTTGGCTAGCATGATTGATCTTTTCCTTCTGATTCCAAATACACCATACCAAAATTGCATTAAGTGAGCCTCACCATTGATTTAAGGAACCGGGAACCGACTTAATTTAGGGTAATGTAAATGCATTTTAAAACTTAGATATTGTAAAAACTGCTGAACCAAATATCAACATTTGTATATGGTATATTTGGAATCAGAAGAAATATATCATTTTATTCAAAAATATACAGGGTGTTCCATTTGAAAAAATGCAAGTGTTTGTCATTATGTTTGTTGACACCTGCCATTTACCCGTTTTGACATGTGCATGTGCAAAAGATGATAGAGATAAAACCCTACAACTTTTGTATTTAACTTTTTTTATTATTTTTTTTTTGTTCAAGTTGTAGAAGCGACACTATTTATAAACACTATTCATGAGCAATAAAGGAACAGACCCTGTACATATCCATATACAACTTTGAAATCCTTGAAAGAATAGCAAAATATATTTGTTCATATTTTTACTCGTATTTTTATTTGTGGGTTAATAAATAAAAATCTATAATCTAATGGCCAAAATAAATAAATATGTTCCTTAAGATAATAATATGTCAGTGTAACTCAGTAACTCAAGCAGCTACCAAAAATCTTTCTGAGTCACTCGCAATCGCCTACAATCGTCTGCAATCATTCACAATCGTCTGCAATCATTCACAATCATATGCAGTCACAATGCAATCCTCCAAAATCTAACAATCGCCTCACAATCCCGGATTACAGTCGCAATCGCAGCAATCTTAGGAAAATCGTAGGGATTGTCGCAATACTGTCACAAAATTCAAGAAGATGTTATCCCCTCGACCAGACCTTATTTTTTGGAATTTGTCCCATACTAAGTAATTTAGTTTCAATTAGATTTGTAATTAAATTATTGTCAACAAGTAATTATTGTTTATTATTTGCATTTTAAGGTTTTCACTTGATTAGGTATCTTTAAATGGATTCCACGTAATTGAATTACAATTTTATTCTCATTATTCTGAAATTTTGAGGATTTCACCTGTATAAACCAGGCATTAAAATACATATCACATCTTTTAAAATCAATGCTAAACAAGAAATGTCATGTATTATACTTGTATTACATGTTTAAACGAGAAAAATCCTGGTGTAAACAAGAAATGTCCTCCTATCTTATGGCCTATCCAGTTGGGAAATTTAGTGCGAAGTGAATATATTTCTTTCTGTTTCTTTCACAGGCTGAGAGAAAGGGAGGCAAATACAATAAGTACAAAATAAAGCTTCCAATTGGAAACACCATAGAGAAGAAAGCTGTCCTGTTTAAACAATAAATGTCCTGTCTCAACAAAAAAATGTTCAATCTAATGGAGTTTCCAATTAGGAAAATTTGTGCAAAGAAAATGTATTTCTATCTGTTTCTTTCATAGGCTGAGAGAAAGAAATGGGAATACACTCAGTGCATATTAAATCTTCTAATTGGACACGCCATAGAGAAGAAAATTGTCCTGTCTAAACAAAAAATATTCTGTCTAAACAAGAAATGTCCTGCTTAATGGCATTTCCGATTGGGAGATTCAATGTGCACTGAGTGCATTTCCATCTCTTTTGCTCAGCCTGTGAAAGAAACAGATAGAAATATATTTCCTTCCTTTCCCAACTGGAAACACCATAAACAAGAGAAATGTGAATTTCCTGTTAAACAAGAAAATGTCCTGTCTAAAGCCTAGTACTCATAACTGCGAAATTCGCACTTTTTTGACATTGCTTCGACAATTTAACGTTTGATACACGCATAAAACGTCAAATTGTCAACGCAATGTCAAAAAAAAACGAATTTCGCAGTTATGAGTACTAGGCTTTATGGTGTTTCCAATTGGAAGATTCAATGTGAAGTTGTAAACCAAGTGCATTTCCATCTCTTTCTCTCAGCCTGTGAAGGAAACAGATAGAAATACATTTTCTTCCTTTCCCAACTGAAAACACCATAAACAAGAAATGTCAATTTCCTGTCTCTGTCTAAACAAGAAATGTCCTGTCTAATGAAGTTTCTCAATGGAATTAATGTGCTCTTAGTGTATATTTATCTCTTTCTCTCAGCCTGTGAAAGAAACAGATAGAGATACATTTTCTTCCTTTCTCAATTGGACAGGCCATAAACAAGAAATGTAAATTTGAATTTCCTCTCTAAACAAGAACTGTTCTATCCCTTTCTATCTAAACAAGAAATGTCCCATCTGAACAAGGAAGCTTCCTGAAATCTCCATAACCTTTTGGTTCACCAAAAAACAACATAAAATCAATTGTCCAAAGCAAGTTTCAACAAGAAAACTGTTATTGAAAAAGACCCAAAAACTGAAACTTACCTGTACAAAACTAGTGAGCCGTAGAGACAAGTAAGAGGCTTGCGACAGTTTCATTCTCCCACAGACGACTGTTTGACCTGGAAGTTCACAAAAAAGAGGCACTTTTCAATTAAATTTTTCTTATTTTTGGTAGGCCTTTACTCAACAATCACATAATCATTATGTAAACTGACAATTTCTTGGCCAAGGAAACCGAACATTAGAAAAATAACCTTTAACTGCGCACTTGGCTCTTTGGGTCGATTTTATATTGAATTTTTCATTAATACAAATGTAAATATTATTAAACAACGATTGCTTACCAAATTCGGGTCAAAAGGCGCTGGATTTTTGAGAAAACTGCACAAAAACAACTTTCCGAAAAAAGGTCCGGTGACAGAAAAGATGGTGGTTAGAGGAAGGAGGGCAAATGTCAAAAAAATTTAGTACGTCCATTGAATGCACCATCAATTGAAAAAAAAGAAGAGCCACAAGGACAATATTTATCTCACTTTTAATCATTCGAAATATTAGTACCATGATCTATCTCACTCTAACGCATTTAAAATTACCACTTCCTTGTGTGCTGGTGGTACCCGAAAAGTTTTTATTTACTTACAAGTCAAAGAGAAGCACACAAGTACTTTTAATTTTTCCCTATAAACATGAGGTCAATGGTACTTTGAATTTGCATTTTTCGGAAATTATGTGATAAAAAATGGCATTTTTATGCCCTGTGAGGATCAGACGGGGTAAAAAGAAAAAGGGTGAGTGAGTACCACTTTATTGGTCGAATGTTTTAAGAGAAACCATTTAGCTGACCCAAATATACAAAACTGATCTGACCACTTTTTTGCTATTGAGGTACTTGCCTGGGTACCACCGAAAAAACGACTCTAAAATAAAATCCTTTGTGTCTTTGTAACTGAAAAATAGGTACTTCATTGATGAGTACAAAGTAGTACCAAATATACTCTACAGTGTATTTTTTGCTCTACATTTTCTGTAGACTATAGACTACAGCATTACTTTGTTGTTTCTACACTTTCTAGAGACTACATTGTAATTTTGTTCTACAATTCCTGTAGGCTGTAGACCTTATTGTACTAACATAATTATTGTTTGTCTTCTACAATTTCTGTAGACTATTGTAGCAGATATTAAAATATATTCTCTTATCATATGTGTTTATGTGTTCGGTGCCTTCTCCTTCTACACTAAAGAGTTTTTACTCTACAGTCTCTTTGAGTTGTAGTAACTCTACTTTAAATATTTATTGTTACAAAAATTTATGTTCTCTCCTTATCATTTCTAATGCATTAAACAGAGATAAATATATTTAGAAACTCAAAATTCTTCTTTTTCAATAATCAAAGTAGGCTTTGGATGCATTAGAATTATTGTTGCTTTTTCTTTTTATTGTTTCAAATACATTAAAAAGAGATCAAATATTTTGAAACCATTTTTTTGTCCAAATATCAGACTAGTTTTTGAAAAATTAATGTTATCTTTGTGAATGCATAAGACAAGACAGATATGAATATATATCTGAAACTTTTTCTTTCTTTGATAATTAGAGTAGGCTTTGGATGTCTCAAAGTTGTTGTTCTTTCTCTTTGTTGTTTTGAATAGGTACCTCAGACAAAGATGACTATATTACTATTTTTTTTTAGATCAAAACAGGCATGAATTGAAATTGATGCTCTCTTCTCTCTTTATCGTTTTCAATATGCATTAGATAGAGATACAGATGTTTCAATATTCTCCTTTTTTTGATAGATAAAGTAGGCTTTGGATGCATTAAAGCTGTCGTTCTTTCTCTATATCGTTTCAAATGCATTAAATAGAGATGCAAATATCCTAAAACTATTTTTTAATTACCCTTTAATGCTAGATGCTACAAAAATTGATGATAATGTTGCGCTACTGAGTTTTTATAATTTACAAAAGGAAATATTTTCCTTCAAAACGGAATATTTTAAATTTCCATTCAAAATTTAGTTCACTGACATTTCGAAATATTTCCTTTTGTACATTTCCTCTGTAGCATGACAATATCTTCTGTCTTTATCATTTTTAATGCATTAGACACAGATGAATAGGTATATTCCAAATTTCAAAATTTTTCTTTTTTTGATCATTAAAGTAGGTTATAGAATATAGGCATTTATTGAAATTGATGTTTTCTTCTATCTTTATCGTTTCAAATGCATTAAATAGAGATGAAAATATTCTAAAACTATCTTTTTTTTCAAATATTAAATTACCCTTTGATGCTAGATGCTACAAAAATTTATATCTTCTCTCTTTATCATTTCTAATGCATTAGACAAAGATGAATATATTTCAAATTTCAAAATTTCAGTTTTTTTGATTATTAAAGTAGGCTTTGGATGTTGCATTAAAGTTGTTGTTCTTTCTCTTTAGCGATGTGGATACATTAACATTAGACAGAGATGAATATATTATTATTTTTTTAGATGTGAATATAGGCATGAATTGAAATTGATGTTTTCTTCTCTCTTTATCGTTTCAAATGCATTAGATAGAGATGACAATATTCTAAAACTATTTTTTTTTTTTAAATCAAATTACCCTTTGATGCTAGATGCTACAAAACTTGATGCTCTTTATCATTTTTAATGCATTAGACAGAGATAACTATATTCCAAATTTGAAAATGTTCCTTTTTTTTGATTATTAAAGTAGGCTTTGGATGTTGCATGAAAGTTGTTGTTCTTTCTCTTTATCGTTGTGGATACATTAGACAGAGATGAATATATTATTATTTTTTTAGATCTACTTAAATATAGTCATGAATTAAAATTGATGTTTTCTTCTCTCTTTATTGTTTCAAATGCATTAAATAGAAATGAAAATATTCTAAAATTATTTATTTTTTCAAATATCAAATTACCCTTTGATGCTAGATGCTACAAAAATTGATGATATCTTCTCTCTTTATCATTTTCAATGCATTAGACAGAGATGAATTTATTCCAAATTTCAAATTTTTTATTTTTTTGATTATTAAAGTAGGCTTTAGATGTTGCATTAAAGTTGTTGTTCTTTCTCTTTATCGTTATGGATGTATTAGACAGAGATGAATGTATAATTATTTTTTTAGATTTAAATATAGGCACGAATTGAAGTTGATGTTTTCTTCTCTCTTTATCGTTTCAAATGCATTAGATAGAGATGAAAATATTCTAAAACTATTTTTTTTTTTCAAATATCAAATTACCTAGGTACCTACCCTAGAAATTGATGTTCTCCTTATCATTTTCAATGCATTAGATAGAGATACATATATTTCAAAATTCTTCTTTTTTTGATCAATAAAGTAGGCTTTGGATGTAGCATTAAAGTTATTTATTTTTATCGTTTTCAATGCATTAGATAAGGATTAATATATTTGAAAATTCTTCTTTTTTTGATCATGAAAGTAGGCTTTGGATGTAGCAATAAAGTTGTTGTCTTTTTCTTCATTGTTTTGAATACATTAGACAAAGATGAAGTTTTTTTTTTTTTTAAATTGACGTTCTCTTCTCTCTTTATGGTTTTCAATGCATTAGATAGAGATAAATATATTTGGAAATTCTTCTTTTTTTGATCATTAAAGTAGGCTTTGGATGTTGCATTAAAGTTATTGTTCTTTCTCTTTATCATTTTGAATACATTAGACAAAGATGAATGTACTTTTTTTTAGATCAATAATAGGCAATAATGACAATTGATATTCTTTTTTTCTTTATCGTTTTTAATGCATAAGATAGAGATGAATCTATTTTAAATCTCAAAACTCTTTTTTTTGATGATCAAAGTAGGTTTTGGATGCATTAAAATTAATGTTATCTTTTCCCTTTCTCATTTCAAATGCGTTAGACAGAGATGAATATATCTCAAAACTCTTTATTTTTGATGATTAAAGTAGGTTGTGAATGCATTATGCATTACCTAAAGTTGATAATATTGTCTCTTCTCCTTATCGTTTCAAATATATTAGAAAAAGATGAATATATAGTTATTATTTTTTTCTAGATTAAAAGACATGATTTAAAATTGATATTATCTTTCCTCTTTCTCATTTCAAATGCATTAGACAGAGATGAACATATTTCAAATAGTAAAATTCTTCATTTTGTTGATGATCAAAGTAGGTTTTGGATGCATTCAAATTGATAATGTCTCTTCTCTTTATCGTTTCAAATATATTAGACAAAGATGAATTGCATAGTTATTAATTTTTCTGGATAGAAGGACAGGTTTTAAAATTGATGTTCTTTTCCTTCTTTCTCATTGATAGTTAGACAGAGATAAATATATTTCAAATCTCAAAACTCTTTATTTTTGATGATTAAAGTAGGTTTTGGATGCATTAAAATTGATAATATTGTCTCTTCTCCTTATCGTTTCAGATACATTAGACAAAGATAAATATATGCATTATTATACAGGGTAGCCCAACAAACGCGCCTCGGTCAATAGTAGCCAAACCGTTGAACTTATGGAAAAATGTTCTGTATAAAAGTTTCAGCATTTCAACTCTGCTATATCCCAAAATTATTTTCAAGTATATAGGGTGGCTCAAAAAAGCATAAGCGCAAATTTATGTTTTTTTTTTTTTAAATGGATTACCATATGTTTTTATGTGACAAAAAGGTAAAACTACCAAATTACTTCACTTTTTACCGTTTTTTGTGCAAAGTTAAGGGAAAATCTTAATATCTCAAAATATTAATGAGATAGATATGGCCAATATGATATTTTTTGAAAGACGACATTTTCAGCTTTTCGATATAAAAATAATATACGGGGTGTTGTATTTGAAAAACTCAATTAAAATTGACTTTAAAATTGACGTGTTTAGACAAATATTTTGAACACCCTGTATACTTAAATCGAAAAATGAAGATAATGTAGGAGCAACTAGATTAACATTGGATTACATGGAAATTTTTAAGGGAAATTATTGTACAGTGGCGGAGATATGACAATTTTAGAAATGTATGTTTTGGTCTATTCTCTTCATAACTTGGCAACGCTGCATTTAATCCAAATATGATTTTAAAGTGGAATACAGAGCATATAGAGGCTTCATTTCCACATAAAAACATATGGTATTCTATTTTTTTAAAAAAAAAACATAAAATTTGTGATTACGCTTTTTTGAGACACCCTGTATACTTGAAAATAATTTTGGGATATAGAAGACATGAAATGCTAAAACTTTTATACAGAACATTTTTCCATAAGTTCAACGGTTTGACTACTATTGACCAAGACGCGCTTGTTGGACTACCCTGTATATTCATTTCAATGGAATCATGAATAATTAATATTGATGTTCTCTTTCCTCTCTCTCATTCAAATGCGATAGACAATATACTAAAAAGAGACAAGTAAATAATCAATAAAATAAGTAAAATGATATGTTGTCTCTCTCCTTATCATTTCAAACACATTAGACAAAGATGAATATGTGTATTAATTGTTCATTTTGTTCCTAATTTCAAAGCGAGTTTCAAAGGAATCATGAATTATTAAGATTGATCTTTTCTTTTCTCTCTCTCATTTCAAATGCGTTAGACAGGGATAAATATATTCCAATACAATGTGTTTCCAAAAGATGAAAGTGGGCTTTCATTTTTATCCAGTCAACTATTTTTCAAATACAATAGAAAGAGACAAATAAATATCAAATAAAATAGGTGCAAAAATGTCTCTTCTCCTTGTTGTTTTGAATACATTAGACAAAGATGAATATATATATTATTATATGAATTATTAAGATTAATGTTCTCTTTCCTCTCTTTCTCATTTCAAATGCGTTGGACAAGGATGAATATATTCCAGTAGGTAATATGTGTTTTCAAAAGATCAAAGTTGACTTTAATTTTTATCTAATAGGCTATTTTTCAAATACACTAGAAAGAGACAGATAAATATTAAATAAAATAAGTAAAAGGGTGTCTCTTCTCCTTGTTGTTTTGAATACATTAGACAAAGATGAATATATGTATTATTATATGCTTTTTTTTATTTCAAAGGAATCATGAATTATTAAGACTGATGTTTTCTTTCCTCTCTCTCTTATTTCAAATGCGTTAGACAGGGATGAATATATTCCAATACAATGTGTTTCCAAAAGATGAAAGTGGGCTTTCATTTTTATCCAGTCGGCTATTTTTCAAATACATTAGAAAGAGACAAATAAATATTAAATAAAATAAGTGAAAAGATGTCTCTTCTCCTTGTTGTTTTGAATATATGAGACAAAGATGAATATATGTATTATTATATGAATTATCAAGATTGATGTTCTCTTTCCTCTCATTCTCATTTCAAATGCGTTGGACAAGGATGAATATATTTCAAGATCAAAGTAGACTTTAATTTTTATCTAATAGGCTATTTTTCAAATACCTACACTAGAAAGAGACAAGTAAATAATAAATAAAATAAGTAAAAATATGTTGTTTCTTCTCCTTATTCTGTCAGATACATCAGACAAAGATGAATAGGTAGGTTCGTTGGACAGAGTTCAGTACCATTTTTGTTTAAAAAATCATAGTAGGCTTTTGAATTTGAATGGATTAAAATTGATGATACTTTTTATCTTTATCGTTTCAAATACACTAGAAAGAGATAAAAGAGTATCGTAAATGACAAAGTAAATAAATCTGTCAAATATGTTAAATAGAGACAAATATATTCTAGTAGGTAAAATATCATAGTAGGCCTTGGAATGGATCAAAATTGATGATACTTTTTATCTTTATTGTTTCAAGATTCAAATACACTAGAAAGAGATAAATGATTATTGTAAATATCAAAGTTAACTTTAATACGTTAAACAGGGACGAATATATTCCAGAATCATTTTTTTTTCTTCTAAAAAATCCTAGTAGGCCTTGAAATATATGAAAATTGACGTTACTTTTCATCTTTATGGTTTTAAATAGACTAGAAAGAGATAAATGAATTTGTCAATTTTGTGTAGAACATCTCTTCTGTAAATTGTAGAACTGTAGACTCCATTACCTACTTTCCGTTATGGAAAATACTGTAGAACAAGTAATTTATATCTACATCTTTCTTCTACAGCCTCCAGTGTAGATCTAGAAAAAGAGTTGGGCCGTACCAACAATGGAGTCACTCCGGGCATGGGCCGGATCACCGGATCCGCAAGCATAGAAACTTTAGTCCGGGTTGGAATCGAAAAAGAACACGGACTTTCACCGGATTCGAAAATGGTCGTCCTGCATGACTTCACTCCTTGTGTGGACGATGAACTCGAAGTTAAACGAGGACAGGTAAAACTTCAGTTAATACAATCTACCTATAGGTTTGTTTTTATAGAAATCACAAACCTGTTGTAATGACCTGGAGAAAAGGACCCGTAATTTACAATGTCTTTACTGTAAAAAATTAAATGTAATCAAATAATCAAAAACTGAATTTCCTGTATCGATAAATTGAAAATGAAACAAAATAACGTTGACCCCAAATCAATTAAAACATCTAAAATATGTTCAAAATTTTATTATTTAAGTCACCAAGAGTGATGTCATCATCTAAATCAAATTAATAAGAATATTAAAAGCGAGGCCAAAGTAATTAAATCGGTGATTTATGGCGTACGTGTGTCGGCTTTCTTTGTGTTATTCTCACATTCTTAAACCAAATCTGTTGACCCCGATAAACCAGGAAATTTTTGTTCTTAAGTATAATAAAATATAATTTAGTAAACCTCAATAGTTTGTTTCTCTCTTTTGCGAATAGACCCCTCCACAATTTTACAGGTAGCAACTCATTAATATATTTTTCGCCATTTAGCATCTAAATAGAGTACTTGGGGCGTTTTGCTACACTGTCATTGGTTGAACATTATTTGTGATTTCTGTTAGAACAACTCTTCTGGATTGTGGTGAATAAACCAGCTCTTTATTTTAGATTGTCAACATCTTATACAGAGAAAACGATTGGGTCTATGTCATATCTCCGGATACAAGGCAAGAAGGCTTCATTCCCTTCTCCTATTGCACTCCTTATACTAATCATTTGGCCGAAATGGCCATTAAAAAGAAGCTACCGCGTGATACTCACTTAAATGATGGCTCTGAAAGTAATCATGACTGTGATGGCCCGATTTTGGACAATAGCGACTGTGATTCTTTGGGCAAAACGAAGCAGGAAACTGGAGCTATTAGTCCTGTCAGTATCCATTCGGAGCCTGATATGATACCGTTTAGTAAAGATCCTTCCGGGAGGTATATTGTGCTTTATACGTTTATTGCCAGGGATGAGAATGATGTTTCAGTGGAGAGAGGAGAGTTTGTGACTGGTAAGAATTTTCAATGTATGTATTTGGTACTAATTTTGCTTTTCAGTACTTAACAGAGAAGATCCAGATTGGTACTGGATAGTCAGAAGTGATGGACAAGAAGGCTTCATTCCGTCTGGATTTGTATATCCAGCAGATAATGTAGTTCAAGGTAATTTTTTTGTGCAAATTCTGACTTTACCATCGAAAAGAGGAGCCTAAAATTAGTCGAAAACAACACTCAAATCATGATAATGAAGCTATTTTCTCTTGAGCAAAAATAGGTCAATAAAAATTTCTCAAATTCTGACATGCTAGTGAATAATCGCTTATAACTTCATTAATTCTAAATTAAATAAAATAAAAGTATACATAGTCGGAAAGAGGATTAAATTCTCTACAAAATGACATTAGATTGAATCAAATCAAATAGCTTTAGTTGTTTTGGAGATATAAGGCTTCAAAGGTGAAACTTAGTCAACTTTTGGCATAAAACTTAAAGGCTGTGTAGCTGCAAAACTAAACATTGTAGCTAAATATGTGATAAGAACTTTTTTGTAGCATTTGACGAGGGCTACAATCTGGTAAAAGAATCAACTTGATACCTCTTACGGTTACGCAGATATTGAGGTTTTGTACCAGGTGTCAAGTTATAAAGTACCACCTCCTATAACTTTTCTATATACGGTTAAAAATAAATAACTGGCAGGGGGTGGTACTTTATAACTTGATATCTTGTATATATATATTTAAATCGTACTGTTATTTATTTAGGTAATCTCAACACCCAAACCCAACACAGCAACTTCCAAAACCAAACAAATCCACATACAATTGCCTCGTCCAGTGCCGACGATTTGAGGTACCACGGTACTGAACTAGTGATGCTCTACGACTACAAGGCGCAAGCGCCTGATGATTTGACAGTTAGAAGGGGTGACTGGATTTATGCTGATTTGAACAATCAAACTGTTGATGGTTGGTTATGGGCCTACGCTCCTAAAACCAGAAAGTATGGGTTTATTCCTAAAGCTTATGCCAGACCGCCTGCTATGACCAGTTTATAATTGCTTATATATTTTGTTGCTTTTTTGTTCTCAAATCTTGT